GTGGTGTTTGGCCGGCATTGGCTCTGTGACCACGTTGTAAAGTTTTTTCGTGTGGATGTCTCATTCGATGTTCTTGATGACCACAATATGGTGGATAAGGAGCAAATGGATCTGGCGAAGTAAAATGACTTGCTCAGGGCCACAAGGCAAGTATATGGGAGAGCTGGGACCCCTCTGCTTCTTTTCCTTCCCCTGTGTCATGCGGACCATCTGACTTCTGAGGGTCTTGTTCATCCAGTCAGAGCACCTCCCCTCTCCCCACTGGTACCAGGCCTGACGTCTCTCCATCGCAGAGGACAGAACCCAGGTGTTGAAGGGAGCAGAGTGTTCCAGTGCTTCCAGGCCCCCCTGCCCCGCCGCACATCTCATTGCAGCTAATGAATTGCTAATACAATTTTCGAGATAATTTTATTTCCATAGTCCCACATTTTAATGTGTTTCCAAAAGCTAGCATTTATTTGCTTAATCTCCCAGTGTAATAGAATCTGCCCTGACTCATCATACATGCGAACAATCAGCTAGGCTGAAACAGCAGCAAATTGTTTAATAACTCACATCTAGTCTCTAGATTTTTAACTCACATGCACCAATAGCTTTTCTTGTGTCTCATCCACATCTCCCCTGCCCTTTCCCTTTTTTTTTTTTTTAAATACTTTTCTATCATCATAGCTGTTAGTCTCCAAGCAGAAGAATGGGGGAAGTGGATGCTGAGTCTCAGAGGCCCCCCCTTTCTTCCCCTGGGAGCCTTGGTTGGTGGATACGTGGCCAAGGAGCACCCCTGCACCTTGTGGAATGTCCCAGGAAAGGGAGAGAGACCACTGTAGGGACATCATGGCATTTCCTTTCCAGGTGGTGACCATATAACTTCCAGCCTGTTGGCCAGGTGTGGAACTTGCCATCTGGGATTTTGTGCATGCGACTCCTCCCTGGCTGTCCCACCTTTCTAGGATTTTCTCTCTCCCCTTGCCCTGGCAGCCTCTGCCCTGGTCTGGTCCCTACCCTCCTCCAGTGGCGCATCAGCCCTCTCGCTGCTTCTCACCACTTGCTGCTGCTGTTGGTCCCTATGTGTGTCCAGAGTCACTGGCTTCAAACACAGGTCAGATCGTGGTAGCACCACTCGTCTTAGTCAATTTAGGCTGCTATAACAAACTGCCACAGACTAGGTGGCTTATACACAGCAGACATGCATTTCTCACAGCTCTGGAGGCTAGGAAGTCTGTGATCAGGGTGCCAGCATGTTCGAGTTCTGGTGAGGGTCCTCCTCCTGGTTGCAGACTGCTGACTTCTCTGTGTCCTCACATGGTGGAAGGGACTGGCTAGCTCTCTGGGCCCTCTTTTACAAGGATACTCATCCCATTTTAATTACCTAATTATCTCCCCCCAGGCCCCATTTCCTAATACCATTACCTTAGGGGTTAGAGTTTCAAAAAAGGAATTGGAGGGGGACCCAGACATTAGGATCCTACCAACCCTTGGTCCTTTCCTGGCACTGCATTGCCTGTAGAATCAAGTCCAGTCTGTCCTACCTGGCATGTACAGCCCTCTATGGTCTGACTCCCATCTCCCAGCTTGTCTCCATCCCCAGGGCCTGACCTTGGCCCCATCTGCTCTGACATTTGCCAGCGGTGTCTCTCTCCTTAGCCTGGCACATGTGTCCCAATTTCTTGTCCTTTGCTTCTCAAACACTGTTTACTTGTAAAAGCCTAACTCAAAATCTCAGAAGCTCTTGGAGTCGCCCTGCCTTACCCTCCGGGTGGTTGTTAACTCAGCGTCTCCCACTAGTCTGGGACCCAGTTTCTCTGCTCAGCCTCAGCCTGCCCCTGGTCACCTAGCACAGTGCCTGCACTTGGCAGTGGCTCAGTGAGTTGGCTGAATGGACATGAAGTGGGTTCAGGCCACCCTGAGAAGTAGGGACAGCATAGTGGGGCAGCATCTAGGGGTCTTGGGAAGACCAAGAGGGCAGAGTGCCGTGGTCTGCCTTGCTGGGTGATATTGACCCTCAGAGCACCTCTCGGTCTGGCTGTGTAGGCTGAGATGTCCCACTGGCAATGCCATTCAGGTTCGTCTGCCCAGGTTCCTTCCATGCGGGGGATCTCAGAGGATGTATAAGGAGGAGTCTTGGCTCTTAAAGGGCATGGCTGACCCACAAAGCCTACTCAATCCTACTGATTTAAGGTAGCTGTTTGAACACCTGGCTTAATTTGGGCTCTCTGTGGGGTGGGGGTTAAGGGCAGAGAGGGGGTAGATGCTGGGGGCCCTCAAGGTGAAGAACTGGGGGCCACTGGGCACAGAACGCATTGCAGATGCACTGTGCTCCTTTGTATGTAGGCCAAGCAGGGAGGGATATTGAAGACTCACTGTCAACTCTTGGCACTGCTTCTGTCCGGAAAGATACATCTCTCATTATGTCCCCCTCCAGCAAGTGGAGCTGAATACCCTACTCAACATTTCCGAGAGACCTTGGTGGCTCCCAGTGGGATTGCACGGCCTCAGAGAGCTATGTCTTGTGACCCAGCCCCAGCATCCGCCTACTCCTGGCCAGGGGCTCTCTAGCCATTGCTGGAGCTGTACTAGAGGCAGGGGTGCTCTGTACTGTCCTTACCGGGCCTCTTCCAGGGTAAGCGCAGACAGGCGGGCAGCTGGCCCCAGAGGCGGCATTGAGCCCAACCCCGTGGTTTCTGAAAGCAGACACACCGAGATATTTTCAGATCCCAACTCTGCCTCTTTCTGTGTGATCTTAGGCAAGTTATTTAATCTCTCTGTTTTCCACTAGTAAAAAGGGGGATAAGAATGCCTGCCTTGTAGGATTGCAGGTTTTAAATGAGCTGACAACATAGAAAAAGCACCTAGCATAACACCTAGTTTTGCTCCCCTTCCTTCCTGCTTTTTGACGGCCAGGAGAAAAATCCAGTGCTGGCTGCTATTCCCATTCCCTGCTCAGCCTTCCTGATTGCTGGCGAGATGGGGTGTGGCTCCAGGTGCTTAGACCTCAGTGTCTGCAAAGGGAAGGGGTATCAGGGTGAGTATGAGGGACACAGAAGTGTAGGGGACCGTGAGAGGTGGACCTTGCCTGCCTACTAGTCCATCCTAACCCAGCAATGAATGGGACGGAGGTGGTGAGGACCAGGCCTCTCCTTGCTATCTCTATCGATGGGCCAGGAAGGCAGGGAGGTTCTTCGTGCCATCCCTTCTCTTCCCCCTACCTTCTACCAGACACTTCTCAATTCCATGCTGAGCAGCCCATGGCTTCCAGCAGCCAAAGCTTTGCCCCCTGCCCCCACCCACTCTGGACTGGGCTGACAGATGCTAGGCCTACTTACCTTTCCTGCTTGTGCCCCCCACACAGGGGACAGCAGTGTGGGGCCAAGTGCAGGTGATATTGCCCAGGTACCAGCACAGAGACGTGCAGATGGGCCTGCCAGGGGCTCCTGTGCTCAGGAAAACAGAGCCCAAAAGGCTGGGCACCGAGCTGCCAGTTAGGACTCACACACAAGGTCAGATACTTCCTCCCGTGGTGCTGTAGCTGGAAATTTCGGCCATGGCTCCAGAGCAGCATCAGAAAGGGTTTGGTAACAAACAGAAAATAGCAGCCTATATTTGTGGGGTACTGTGGGAGTGAACAGCCAGTTAGAATTAAATGAAAATCTCACATCACTCGCTAGCTTTCAATCATTTGACAGTTGCCCGTCGGGTTTGGGATGGAACCTAAAGCTCTTGACGTGGTTTGCAAGACCCTGCATGGCCTGGCCCTTACCTTTCCCTTTAGCCTCCTCTTCTTCTTCCCCAGCTGCACTGCACCATTCCTCTGTCTGATCCTCCCACCGGCCACGTTTCCCTTTGGCCCAGAGTGTTCACAGACACTATTCCATCTTCCGGATTCCGCCATTCACCTGGTGTTCAGGGTAACGTCGGTCATGAGAGCAGGCACTTGGCATGCTCTTCCATGGTTATATCCCCAGTGCCAAAAAGACGACGTTACTTGTAGAAGGCACCAAGTAATACTTGTTGAGTGAATGAACCTAAGATTCATGCTTTAGTGAGTGGAGAAGTAGTTAAAAAAAAAAAAATCAAAAAACAAAAACAGGGTCTGTATCTGGTCTTGGGAAAGCATTAAAATCTAGGGTGCGTGGGTGTGAATCCCAGCCCTGCCACTTATGAACTCTATGGCAGGAGTCCCCAAACCCTGGGCCATGGCCTGTGAGGAGCTGGGCTGCACAGCAGGAGGCGAGCGAGTGAAGCTGAGCTCCACCTCCTGTCATATTAGTGGCGACATTAGATTCTCATAGGAGCATAAACCTTATAGGGAACTGTGCATTCAGAGGATCCAGGTTGCACGCTCCTTAAGAGAGTCTAATGATTAATGCGCTTGAATCATCCCGAAACCATCCCCCCACCATACGTGGAAAAATTGCCTTCCATGAAACCAGTCCCTGGTGCCAAAAATTTTGGGGACTGCTGCTCTATGGGATTTTGGCCTAAGTAGTTAATCTCTCTGTGCCTCAGTCTCCTTGTCTAAGGGGTGAGGATAACAGAGGCTAGCTTTTGGAGTTTTAGATTTATATTAGTTACGTTAGAACAATAGCTGGCCCGTGCTATCTTTGTCATTGTTTGTCCTCACAGGGTCTACCTTGCCTCCCCCACTTTTTGCCCCGGACTCTGCGAAGTCCATCTGGTATGTGCCCTCTTAGTATTTTGCTGCCTTTTACATACTGCCTGACACAGTTGCACATTACCCTTGCTGTTGTGATGTATTTGATCAGTGTCTATCCTTCTCCCACTAGACTTTAGTTTCCAGAGCTCAGGAACGACGTCGATTTTGCCCATCCCTGGGGCCACATACTGGGTGCTCAGTGTTGCACAGCCTGGGCCAACTCTGGATTTGCCCCTGAGCATGGGGATTTGGAAGTGTGAGTCCCGACACTGGCTCTCACTCCAGATGGGTAAAGAATGCGCCTTGTGTTCCCAGTCTTCTGAGGCGCCCCCTTTCCTGTCTCCCACAGGCACTGACATGGCCGTCTTCTGTCTGCTGTGTGGGAAGCGCTTCCAGGCGCAGAGCGCACTGCAGCAACACATGGAGGTCCACGCGGGCGTGCGCAGCTACATCTGCAGCGAGTGCAACCGCACCTTCCCCAGCCACACGGCCCTCAAACGCCACCTGCGCTCACATACAGGTAGGTCAGTGAAGCTGATTGGTGGATTTGGGTGTCTGGGAGCCAGTCTCTATATTTACCTCCAAGGACGTAAAGTGGAGGTGGTGGGCTGAGTCAGCCCTCAGTCCTTCTGCTCAAGGCTTGGACGTGCAGGGGCTGCCTGGCATGCAGGTAAATGTGGACAGTTCTCCCAGTCCCCTCCTGCGGACCGTCGGTTCAGTCTTTCCATGTTCAACACAGGATGCTCATTAAAACGGCAGGCTCTTGGGTCCCACTCTCAGAAACTTTTATTCCATGGGGCCGGGGTGGGGTCCCAGATGCAGCATTATTAATACGTATTCCCAAGGGATTCTCATGTAGGTAGACCCAAAATGAATTTTGAGAAAAACTGACCTGCTGGGTCTCTTAACAGTGTCTGCCCTGCCTCCCACCACTCTTGATGCCCCTCCACGCCATCCATACACATTTCTGAAGTCAGCTTCGGGCTTCTGAGGGCAAGTTGAAGAAGTCCTACTTTCCCCACAATAACAAAGGCCTGTACTCGGACCTTAACCCTGTTTAGGGAAGACAAGGAGGGCATTTAAACGATGAGCAATGAAATACTGCTTCTCAGCCAGTTCCAGGTGATGGGACAAGGGAGGGGTTATGAGCTAAGGAGGCTGGGCCAGGTGCCCAGAGGCTGGCCATTCCCTGCCACCAGCCTCTAGGGCTTCAGGGATGGGGATACTTGGTCCCTGATGGCCAAAAGGCATTTGCTTTCCTGCAGCAGCCCCTCATCTTCCCTAACAGGGGAGTGGATGGCTTAAATTCCTTATTTTCTCTATGACAAAACTGGGGCTCTGCTGACTGTACCTGGGTAAAGGAATGCGCATTTCTGAGTCTGCATGTGTCTCTGCCTTTGTGTGCTGTGTTTGTAGGGAGGGTTGGGGTCAGGTCTCCATCTGGGTATGTAACAGAGCATATGCTCATAAAAACCTCTGCATGCCACGTAAAGAAACTACTGTAGGCCCTCTCCTCAGTTTGAGAGTCTTGTCACAGCTCAGAGATTGAGTATGCAGACCAGGTCTTGCATGGGTGGCAGGCTCTGCTAAATAAGGGAAGAGCTTTACTTCTTAGGGACCGAGCTGGCCTGGCCTGCCAGCAGTAGGTATCCTCGTTAAGGAGCCTTCCTGGCTCTCACTTCTGGCTGCCATTTTGTTCAGGGGAGCACATTGCCTTAGCACCACCGGATTTGCACAGAACTACTTAAAATTTCTGGGACAGGATGGAGGTAGGGCCCAGAGGGGTGGGCTCAATAAGAAGGGCCCAGGAGGGTGGGATGTTGACAAGGACTTTCTCTGCAGCGACCGCATAAGCGTCTCCCCTGCAAGTATATGCACCTTCCTATGAACGCCTCCCTCAACGGGTCCCCAGGTTCATTTGGTCTTAAGAAAGATGGCTAGATACCTTTCAGCCACTTCGGAGCATGCCACTGGGTCCAACCAGTTGACTTCATGTGACTTGAATGATCTCAGTCCTGCTAAATCCACCCAGGATATGCCCTGCTCTGTCCATGCCACCTTCTCAGAGCTCAGATATGAAAATGTCACATGCCCTTGTGTCAGCCGTGGCTCAGATCCACAGGGAGGGGCTGTTTCCAGAGTTAGGGAGAAGCCCTTGCTTATTCTAGGAAACACAGAGCATGTGTGCTGCCTGTGCACACACACAGAAACACCCATCAATTTTCACACCAGTGAGGCACTGTGCACACAAGCCATATACAGGCTGTGCACACCCCACACACAATGCCTCATTAATATTCCGTTGTTCTTGGCCCATTTGCTGCTGGGGCCGGGTGTTTAGCATCAGCAGCTGTGTTTGGTAGGTTAGTCCAGCCGTGCTCTTGGCATTGATGGATCCCTGATTCACACGGCTCATCATATAATAAACTCTCAGCTGTGCTGAAGGGAGGGGCCAGGAGGGAGGGGCCTGAAGAGCCAGCAGGATGGGGCTGGGGTGGGGAGGACGACAGACACTGGGCTTGGCCAGTGCCAGAGAAAGCATCAAGTAAGGACAGATTTGGGGGGGGAGTGGGGGGGTCACAGGTGCACCGGGCAGGCTGGAGGGGGCTCTAATTAGTCTCGTTTGTCCTGCACTTAATGTCAAGCTCATTAAAGAGGCTACAGAGTTAATCAACATACCACAAATTGGATTTTGAGTTCTGCAGCCAGTTTTGTGTACATTATGGCCACACTGACACAATCAGCTCTCAGGGTGAGGATTTCACGCCAGGTGCGCACCGTGCTCCCAGATCGGGATGGGCATACGTGTGTGTTGGTGACTTTTCTTTTTCTTTCTTTCTGTTTCTTTTTTTGTTGTTATTTTTCCTTCTAAATTCTTTTTATTCTTTTCCCTGGGCAGACTCAGGAGATTTCCTATTTAAACTCATTTAACATGTGCTCCACTTCATAATTAAATTCATAAAAATTGGATCAAACAAACTCCTCTGTCTTAACCCCTTGTTTTTTTAAATTGTTAGGGACCCCTCTGGAGGTGAAAGGCACAGGCAGCTGCCCCCCGCCCCCCCCTACCGCTGCCTTCCCCCCAGCTGGGCGACTGCCGATGTACGTTTTAATTACCGGCTCCGGCTGAAGTCTCACGTGGCCTTGGCTTTATTTATTTATTTATACCTTAATGAGGATACTGAATCTTTGATTAAAGTCGTAATCGTTGCCGATTCAGTAAGGAGGGGGAGTTGGATGTCAGACCAGACGGGACTATGAGTGCAGACACACAGAGAGAGTGGGTTCAGGCGCACGCACACAGACTGGCCCTTACTGTGTTAGACACACAACTAATTAGTACCAGGGTTTGCACAGGCCTCCACTCCCCTTGAGTTTGATGGGACTAGGGGCCAGGAAGTCCCATGGCTCTTGACAGTGAGGATGGGCAGGTAGCAATTTTGAGAACCCCAGGCCTTGGCCCATCCCCAGATCTGCAGGTGAGGGACTCACTGGCTGAGCCTCTGAGCCAGTGCAGCACCCCATAGATTGGGGTGAACTGGTGTCAAGGCACGATGCCACTCTTTGAGCTTCTTCCATCTGATTACTTGATGGAAGTGCCCCTCACATGGCATGGGTGCTTCTTGCAAATCTTTCACCCGTGAGAAAGTCACTGATCAGATCCCAGCATCTGCTCCCCACAGAGCCTTACTAAAAACCCCTCAGAGCCATCAGAAGAGATGAGAATTTATGTGGGTACAGGGGCCTAGCTTTGGGAGGGGGAGCTTTGGTTAGTGGCCCGAGGAGGGGAGAGAGAGGAGAGAGTAAAATATCATTTTAAAAAGGAAGTGAAGGCACAGGCATGCGAGTCTATAACGAGAAGGACAATTTATGCCCAGGCACGAGCGCAGTTTGACATGGGGATAATGAAAAAACGTAGGTCATTGTGGATGACTTAAACCTTCAGCAGCTGAAGAAAATGTATGAAATGCAGAGGACATTACACGGTTGGCAGCCCCGCACATCTGCAGAGGGACAAGTGAAATACAGTGGGCCATTCTTTACCATAAACTGTGGTTGTTGGAGATGCAGCCCAGAGAAATTGTAATTACAGTGACAAGACGAATCAGCGATATTTAAATATTCATGAACAAAGTCTGGGGTGATCAATCTATCTTTATTGTCTGTGCCTTCACTCCTGTAATAAATAAGTAGCTGGAGTCCTCACCTTTCATCCCCCAAGTCCCCCACTTTGGGTATGAAAGGCAAGATGGTTATTCTCCACACCCCAACCTCTCATGCTCTGGAGAATTCAGAGTGGGATCCTCAAAAAAGAAAAGGCAGTTCTCTCCAAGCTTCATGGACCCACCATTTCCTGAGTCTGTTCGGGATCCTCCCTGTGCGATGCACTGAGACTACAAAGATGGGTGAGGCTTGCTTCTTATCCTGGTGGTGCTTCCATGCCGGAGGTAGGATGGGCAAGCCAGTAGATACAGCACAGTGTCAGCAAGCTGACAAGTATATGGTACCCTGACTCTAGGGCCAGACCCAAACCTGAATCCCAGCTCAGCTCTTCACTTGCTATTTCACCTCAGGGATGATGCTGAAGCATCTCTAAGCATCTCATTTTTTCTCAACTATAAAATGAGAATAATATCTTTCTTTAAGGTTGTTGCCATGATCACCTTATGCGATCACATCACACATCTGAGTGCTCAGGAAATGTGGGCCATTTTAATGCGAAAGTGTGATAAAAATTATACCACACGAATAAAAGAACAAAATTCTGGGCATTTCTTCTCTTTGGGGACACAGAGGAAAGTGTGATTCATTCTGCCTGGAGAATCAAAGGGAAGCGTCCACACAGGGGTATCATGAGCTGGGCTTTGAAGGATGATTAGGAGTTCACCAGGGAGAAAAGAAGAAGTCGAGCAGAGGAAACAGCTATGTGAGACTGTGGAGGAAGGAAATTGGGGACTGTAGAAGGTATTTGGGGAACAATGTGAAGTTCCCAGAACTGGAGAGATTTCTTTGAAGGTTGAGGAGTCAGGCTGGAGTGACTTTCACTCTTAACCTAAAGGAAGGGGAGAAGAGGTCATCTGAGAAGCAAGATGGTGAGGTCTCATGTATCCACATGAGGGCTTGCTTTCTGGGGACTGCTGTCCATCCCTGAACCAAATGGGCTCTCTTTTCCCAGGACTGGCCCTTGCCCCGCAGATGATCATGGGCCCACAGTAAAGTGTGGACATGTGTGAACACAGGTATTGCTTGTTTATTCAATGGAGGTGTGGCCGTGGATCCCTAAGTTGTCTTTGGAGGTGGTGAATACAGGCCGTCTCATCCTTCTCATGCCCTGAATGTGCCCTACTGTCCCCTGAGGAGGGGGCCGGGGGGCGGCAAATGCCTGATCCAGCCGCTTGTCTCCACAGGCGACCACCCCTACGAGTGTGAGTTCTGTGGCAGCTGCTTCCGGGATGAGAGCACACTCAAGAGCCACAAACGCATCCACACGGGTGAGAAACCCTATGAGTGCAATGGCTGTGGCAAGAAGTTCAGCCTCAAGCATCAGCTGGAGACGCACTATAGGGTGCACACAGGTACCGAAGGCCAGGGAGGGGTCTGAGCTGGCTCTGGGACCTGGGTGGAGGTGGGAAGCAGATGGTCTCCTGGAGAAGCCTAAGTGAGGATGATCCCAGGCTGAATCAAAGAGTAGAAGAGGTTCTATGAAGGGCTGGTATGATGGCCTGAGGGCCACCAGTCAAGGCCAAGGCAGACATTACTAATCAATCCCAGCACACTTTCCAATGAGCCCCCACCAGCTCTCCAGGCAGCTATACCAATAGTTCAGAGGTGACATGCAAAATGATGTCTGTAATGAGTCCTAAATTAGGGGTAAGTTGGTCCAGTTAGCTGGAAGCGAAGGTTAGGGCTAATTTCATGTTACTCAAGGGTTACAGTAAGAATTAGGATGCATTGAATCAGGTTATTATGGAAGTTGGGAAATTGTAAAGTTAGATTGTGTTTGGTTCTGAGATTAGAAGAGCAGATATATTTAATAATCCCTATATGCATATGATGTTTTACCATTTCAGAGTGCCTTCACATTTTTTTTTTTTTAGACAGAGTTTCGCTCTTGTTGCCCAGGCTGGAGTGCAGTGGCATGATCTCAGCTCACTGCAATCTCTGCCTCCTGGGTTCAAGCAATTCTCCTGCCTCAGCCTCCCGATTACCTGGGATTACAGGCGTGTGCCACCATGCCCGGCTAATTTTGTATTTTTTTTTTTTTAGCAGAGACGGGTTTGCCATGTTGGTCAGTCTGGTCTCGAACTCCTGACCTCAAGTGATTCACCCGTCTCGGCCTCCAAAGTGCTGGGATTACAGGCATGAGCCACCATGCCCGGCCACATTATTTTTTGTGTTGGAAAAAGAAATGTGGGCCACTGCTTTTCCTGAGGTCAGAAGACAAAAGAAGTGAAGGGTCTTCCACAGTGTCCGAGGTTGGGGGCAGTGGAGTATTGGAGCTTGCTTGTGAAAGCTAATTTTTCACATTTCTTCACAACTTCAAGTTCAGCGACATCACCTTAGTTGCTCAAAATTGGCCCTGGTAGGAGTATTCACATCATAGCAATCAGCAGATGCTACAAACCAGGGCTTTTTAGAAAGCCAGTTGTTAAACATTTACCACCAGCACATTGCTGGTTGTGGGGAAGGCTGATTTACAGAAGGGTAAGAGGTGGTGGCACATGGAAAACAAAGACACCCCCTCTGATCGGGGGGGGGACAGCTGTCCTGTCCAGAGGAAGGGGGAGAGGTGGCTTCAGGCAGATCCTGCTGGCTTAGAGGAAAGTACATTGCCTTTGGAGGGGAAGGGTGGACAGAAGGAGCAGTAAGCAGAGCTACGTGTTGTCAGAGCTCAGTTTTCGTGCCCCAGTTTGAGCCCCCAAGGACAGGGTTGGGTGTCCATTGCTGACACCTATAGTGACCCAGAGGATTTCCCAGAGCCCTGGGGTTTCCTTAGCCCCTTGTCGGGGATGTGACCTGGCAGGTGGATCATTAACTGTATTGGCAGTGACTATTGTAAATAGCTGGTCGATGGTTAGATCACTTTGGCTGTTCATTACTTCATTATTTGCTGGGGCCTGTGCACGGAGGAGTATTGATAGCGAGATGGCTGGCCAGTTAATTACTGTATTGAAACAAGGTTCCCTCACATCCTCTGCTCAGCTCTAGGGGACTCTATGGAAGGAAAGTTGGGGTATAGAAGGCTAGGGTGTGGCTGTGTACTCCCAGGTTCTTTATCCTTCCCATCCCACCCCACCCCCAATTCTAGCCTCAGGAGGGAGGCAGGGTCCAGGGCAAAGTCTTAGCAGTTTTAGCAGGATAGGCCGGGTGCGGTGGCTCATGCCTAGAATCCCAGGACTTTGGGAGGCCGAGGCAGGCAGATCACTTGAAGTCAGGAGTTCAAGCCCAGCCTAGCCAACATGGTGAAACCCTGTCTCTACTAAAAATACAAAAATTAGCCAGGCATGGTGGCAGCACCTGTGATCCCAGCTACTTGGGAGGCTGAGGCAGGAGAATCACTTGAACCCAGGAGGCAGAGGTTGCAGTGAGCTGAGATCGTACCACTGCATTCCAGCCTGGGCAACACAGTGAGACACCATCTCAAAAAAAAAAAAAAAAAGGCTTTAGCTGGATAGAGGTTCCCAGGTGCGGCATATTTGAAGGACTGGGTTCCCTCAATTTTCCCCTACCCCTGCTCCCCACCATCTGTAGCCCTGAAAGGTCTCGATCCACCTGCTCCCTGGATGGAACTGTGGCTTGAAGAGCCATTCCTGAGGACCGTGGGGCCTTTCTCTTTCTAGACACTCATTTTCTTAATTAGAAAGGGAAAAGACTGTGGCCTTAGGAGAGTTAAGAATAGTAAGACAAGGAACTGGGCAATCCAGTAGTCAACTAGCTACATGTAGCTATTTAAATTAGTTACAATGAAATAAAATCAGAAAACTGTAGAGCTCCAGTCGCACCAGCCTCGTTCATAGCCATGTGTGACTGGTGGCTGCCGTCTTGGGTGGTGCCTTCATTGTCCCAGAAAGTTCTGTTGGAACAAGCCCAGCAGGAGGAAGCCAGCTTCCCTGGCACGCCTGAGGGTGACATGGTGCCCTCACCGCCCTCTGTCTGTCCTCACTTTCTCCTGCCCTGTCCCTTTGCCCTCAGGTGAGAAGCCCTTTGAGTGTAAGCTGTGCCACCAGCGCTCCCGGGACTACTCGGCCATGATCAAGCACCTGAGAACGCACAACGGCGCCTCGCCCTACCAGTGCACCATCTGCACAGAGTACTGCCCCAGCCTCTCCTCCATGCAGAAGCACATGAAGGGCCACAAGCCCGAGGAGATCCCGCCCGACTGGAGGATAGAGAAGACGTACCTCTACCTGTGCTACGTGTGAAGGGAGGCCCGCGGCGGTGGAGCCGAGCGGGGAGCCAGGAAAGAAGAGTTGGATCGAGATGAAGGAAGGACTATGAAAAATAAAAAAGGAAAAGAAAAAAAAAAAAGAGAAGGAAAAGGAAACCTGATAGCTTTTTGGCCTTGGATTCTCTCTGGGCTCCAGATGACCTGGATGCCAAGCCACTGCCCCTCCTCTGGGGGCCTCCACCCTCCTCTCCCGGCTGGAGGTTTGCCTGATTTTCTGGGATGGGGTGGGGTATTTTGTTCACTCAAATGGTGGCACATTTTTCTCCTGCCTTCACCCAGATCTTCCTTTATGTGTCCAGAAACGGAGGCTAGAAAGCAGGTGAGAGGTCCTCTGATCAGAGCCACACAGTCTCTGCCGGCCTTGCTCCCGCAAGACCTCCAGAAGATGAAGGCAGGGAGGAGGGGAGCCAGAACGGTGCTCCCCTGCCGATGGGGCTGGGCTGGGTCACTAGCTGCTCAAGGTGGCAGCTCTAGTTTGCTGGCGGCCGACTGGGGAGAGGAAGGGCTCTGTTTCTCTTCCCACCACTCAGCCCACCTGCTGCTTTCTTCTGCTTTGCCACATCTGGGTGTCCCCTGGTGGTCTCTGAGAGCCTCTGGACCCCTGCCCCTCTCCCAGCTCTTTGTTCCCAGCCTCCCCTTGACTCCTGTCCTCCAAGTCCCAGGGGAGTCTCAGCCCCTCAGGGACCTGGCGGTGTCTCCATCCTTCTCCAGTTCCCTAGTGGGACAGCTGCCTCTGACTTCAGAGCCCCTCCTTCCCTCAGCTTTCTGAGAACACAAAACAAATCCAATACCCCACCCTAGTCCAGGCCCATTGTGAGCAAGATTCCTGCTGCGCTGCTTCCAAAATGGAAAAGCATCACAACTAAATACCTAATATTTTACCAAACAAACCACAGTCCCTACGTGGCCCTACTTCAGTCCCAGGAGAAGGAATCCATGAAAGGGCTGATGTTCCAAGGGAAGGTTGTGGATGTCTTTCTCTAGAGGGGCCCTACACCTGGGGAAGAGGATACCCAGCCCGTGGGGTGACGGAAGCTGGGCAAGGGAGAAAGTTGTTGAGTCACACTGAGGACCCTAGATGTAGTGAGCTCAGCAAGAAAAGCCAGGTCCAGAGAGAGTCGCACAGAATTCCTGACTCACAGCGCCCCTCGGTCCACAGTGGAGAGGAGGAGGAGCAGAAGGAGGAGGAGGAGGAGCAGCAGGAGGAGGAGGAGCAGCAGGAGGAGGAGGAGTTGAAAGCGCTTTGGCCTTGTGTTATGTTTTGCTTCTTTTCTGTGTCTCCTGTTAGCACATTGTACTTGAATTACCTCAGTTTTTTGTGACCTCATGAGCTTTTTTAACCTCTGTATCTCTTTTTTTGGTTGGGGCTTGGAGGAATGGGGAGGGTGTTCTTTTCTGTTTCTTGTGTAAATTAACAGTTGTTTTTATAGACTTCAGCTGGCCAAGACCCTCCCCGTACCCCTGGAGACCAGCCTCCCAGCTGGAAGGAACTGTGCAGGAGGAGTTGATACTCAGGATCTGAATGTGAGGGCCGGGGAGGGCAAAAAACGTAGGTGGGGAGGGGATGTTGCATTGGGGTCCCATGGTCCCCAAAGGGCACTAGGGAGTCACTATCGGCTCCGCCGGTGCACGAAGTCACCTGTGGCCACCATCCGTTCAGCCTAAAACACTCTGGAGAGAATCCCACCTTTCTTACAAGTTGCTGGGCCATTGAGGTTTGAGGGCCTGTGTTTGGATCCTTGCAACTGTGTGGTCTCACCTCTGTGTGCATTCTCATTGCCAGGATTGGTCTATTTTCACGGCTGGTCTTTGGGGAGGGGGGCGGGATCCAGCCTTTGTTTTGTTGTGTTGGGGCGGGGGTGTTGTTTTTCTAAAAGCTACCTCTTATGTTTGTCCAGTTGTTCTTTTGTTCCTTTCCCGCCTCCCACTCTGCTGCTCTTCCCCCCTCTTTTCCCCAACCTCCCCCAACCCTCCTGAATTTTGGAAAGCACATTTGCAATATTCGTGTTTGCTTTGGGACGGACCCTCCGTTTCATCTCATGCTTTATGTGTAAGAGTTTTTTATTGTTATTTTTTCTTTCCTTTCTCTCGCCGAGAAAGTTGTGGCTGCGTTTTGATCTTAGGTTTTACAAAGTGGTTTAGGGAAGCGGTCTTGGGGAGAAGGATCACGAGGAATGTAGGGAAGCCGGAGGGATGGGTGCTGCTGTGACGACCTCCCTGTCCCTCGGCCCCAGCCCTCCTGCCCTCCCCTTCAATCTCATCCACCAAATCTGAAGGCCTTAAAATTGTGTGTTGGGAGGATGCGAATTGGGAGGACGGTGTCACTAGACTGTTGATTAGGGATGATGAAGTAGGGAGGATGCTATTTTGCAACTGTAATAACGACTTAGTGTTTTGGAAAGGAAAAGAAGTTAAACTTGAAATATGTGACTAGAACAGTTGTCATGTTTATAATGTGAAAAGGGTGAAATCATTTGGGGGAGGGGCCGTCTGTAAGAAATCAGTATGCACTATGGCTTCCTCCTCTGGTCTGGGAAGAAGCAGGGACTGGCTGGCCCTCAGGGGATCTGTAAATCCCAGAAAACAGTATTTTTAACAGCAAGATGTCATTCAACATTGGTGGGGAAGGAAGAGAAAAAATCAAACTATTCCATAGAACTAGCTTACCCCCTCACTCCCTTGCCCTTCCCACTCAGCCTGGGCCCCTCCCCCCTCCATTCATAAAAGCTGAGAGGGTTGAGCTAATCTTTACAAATTGTAATATTTTTGTAGTATCTGTTAGTTCCTTCGTCAGTTCTGCAGAACCTTGCCCTTTCCTTTTGTAATGTGAATAGGAAGACAAAAGACAAAAAAAAGTCCACCACCACCAAAATATCCCTTTGTACATGTGTGTGCGTGTGCGTGTGTGCTTTGTGTGTGTGGTTGTGTGTTAAATCATGCAGTATTGTCGTAATCTGGTGTTGCAGCATTGGATGGTACTAAATCAGCACCCGGACGCCCCACCCAACCCGATGGGCCCTGCAGACCCCAGTAGGGAGGTAGGGGGAGAGCTCAGAGGAGTGTGGTTTCTGAGGGCTACTGTTTCGGGACACCTCTGAATTTGCTGTACCCTCCTCTCCCCGTGAAGACACCTGAATAGAGTCTAACATGCCTCTTCTCCAACTTCCTACCCACAACAACAGTTCTAATGTTGCAAGGCCTAGTGGCCGGGGGCAAGCTAAGAGGCTGTCTGGAGGCTTTATATGTGTCTGGAGTTGAGGGGAGAGAAGGAGGGTAGAGGGAGGTCTCTCCCCAGGTGGGATCTGAATATCTGTCCTCCCCTCCTCTTGGCGCCGTCTGACTCCTTTGGCCACCTGGCTGCCTTTAGCTGTGGCACTGCTGGCAACCCTGCTTGCTACTGCCTTATCCAGCACAGTGAAAAACTTCTCCAGCCTGGCAAGGCCACGTTGGCTAATAGTCCCTTTCCCGTGTCCAGCTCCTACAAGTGTGTCCCTTAATGCGTTTGGTGACATTTACACCTCACTCATGTGCTCTTTCCCTGTTCACTCCTTCGCTCATTCAAAGCATTAAAATCCTATGTATATATAGGATAGACAAATATATAGATATATAGATATATATATAGAGCAAGAGATTGATATAAAATAGTAAATATCATTGCTGCTTTGGGCTGCTTTGGAGGAGGAGGCCATGAATATGGGGAAGGCAGATCTGGGGTGCAGGGGTGGGTAGGGAGGCTGGGGGACCCAGTGATTCAGTACAATCCAAGGGGTGCAACGTGGGCTTGTTTAATCTTTGTGCCTGAACAGTTTTTCCATGTTGAGAAAAAAAGAAACAAAACTGCTGCAATTTTTCACAAGTGTATGGTACCTTTCTGGATGCTATTGGTACAACTGCTGTGGACGGAAGTGGGCCACTGAGCTTACCTCCTTATAGAGGAGTGAGCAGAGGTGGGACAGCCTTTCGACTCTGTCCATGAAGGGTGGCAGGGTCGGGGTAATTTTGGGGCCTGTTTCCCGGCAAGCCGAGCTAGGGTGAAAACTGGGGGCGCACCAGGATGTGAGACAGAAAAGCAGAAGATTAGACTCTGTCCATTCACTTTTCCTAGGCCCATCCTGTGGTCATCTTTCCCCCTCCCATCTTACCTCCTCCTTTCTGGAGCCTCTGCCGACTTGGCTGTAATGGTGGCACTTACGTGGATATTTCAGTGGGAGGACGAAAAGCGAGACTCACCCTATGTGGTGGGACGGATGGGGAGAGGAAAAAGGCAGAGATGGCCAGGAGAGGGGCGCAGGACAAACCAGAGAGGTTGGGTCGGGGGAAGAAGGCGGGGAGAAAGAGGGGTGTAGGCCCTGTAGGCCGGTTAGCCAGCAGCTGCGGCCTCCCTGGGCCCTTGGCATCCCACTTCGCAGACAGGGTACCAGCCTCCTGGTGTGTATCATAGGATTTGTTCACATAGTGTTATGCATGATCTTCGTAAGGTTAAGAAACCGTGGTGGTGCACCATGACATCCGACCCATATAAATAAAGATAAATATATATATATATGTATGTAAATTATAGCACTGAGGGCCCTGCTGCCCTGCTGGACCAAGCGAAACTAAGCCTTTTGGTTTGGGGATTATGTTTTGTTTTGTTATTTGTTTGTTTTCGTGGCTTGTCTTATGTCGTGACAGCACAAGTGCCAGTCGGATTGCTCTGTATTACATAATAGTGTTTTTAATTCATCGATGTTCTAGTTAATGTCTACCTCAGCACCTCCTCTTAGCCTAATTTTAGGAGGTTGCCCAATTTTGTTTCTTCAATTTTACTGGTTACTTTTTTGTACAAATCAATCTCTTTCTCTTTCTCTCCTCCCCACCTCTCACCCTTGCCCTCTCCGTCTGCCCCCCCCCCGCCCTCCCCTCCTCCCTCTGGCTCCCCCTCTCATTTCTGTCGGCTCCATTCTCTCTCCCTCTCTCCTGCCTCCTGCTGCCCCTCCCCAGCCCACTTCCCCGAGTTGTGCTTGCCACTCCTTATCTGTTCTAGTTCCGAAGCAGTTTCACTCGAAGTTGTGCAGTCCTGGTTGCAGCTTTCCGCATCTGCCTTCGTTTCG